AGGGGGAGGAGGAGGGGAGAGAGAGGGGAGAGAAGAAGAGAGAGGGAATGCTAACCAGCTATTAAGAAAGCCTGGCCACCTGTCAAGTGAACTTTTGGGGGCACTGCAAAGGACTTTTCTTCAAACCAATCATAACCTAGATTTTTACTCTGATGCAGACAGAATCGCAGCTAGTAGCTCGATAATTTTATGTGCTGGTCACAATGGCATAAGAGCTGTTTCTCTAAAGGAATCATCGAGTCCTGTGTGAAAGTTGAGGGTACATGATCTGAAATGTGAGGTCTGACTTTGGAACCTGTGGAAACAAAGTCCAGAGAAGGAAACTGAAAGCATTTGGAATCCAGATGTAATTATTAGCAAAGTGGAAACCAGAACATTTGAGAGGTTGTAGCTTTATTTTTTTTTATGTTACCATTTTTCTCACAGTTTCCCTATTTAGTATATGTGAAGAGTTATGAACTGAATCACTTATGCACTTAAATACCTCTTTAACGTCTCAGACAGAAAGCCATAAACATGTATATCCTTTATGTGGCTCAACTATTCCAATTGAGTCATCATTGAAGGAAGTAGTTGATAATTTTATACAGGAGAGTTATTGTGAGCATTTATAAAGCCATCCTGCTTATGAGCTAAATTTATTACGTTTGCCAGGTTAATCTGTTTTCTCTAATCGGACACTTAATCATCCAGTCTCTTCCCTGCATTAGAGATTCATGAATTTGAATTGAAGAGGGTTGCTCAGTCAGGACAAAATGATAAATTATCTTTTCATTTTGGGGGTATTTGTGGTTAAATGCCTCATAATAGAATTAAAATGGAATAAATTTTGTAATTTTAGTTCTAGATTCCTGCCAGGTATAGATAAAATGCATTCATTTAAGAGCAAATCCAATTCAGTGCCTACATGGAATTTATAGAAGAAACAGAAAGCTTTGTAATACAAGAGAGCTGAATTCTTCCTTCCTTTTTGTAGATGGGAGAGATGATTGAGCACTCCAAGGTACTCTATGGATGAATAGCACAGAATCAACATTTACATTCCGAAAGAATGAGGAATTAGCCCAGGGCAGTGATAGGTAAGGTTTATTTGAATCTATAATCTCCAGCTGTGAGCTCCAGGGTTGTGCATGGTTTGTGGCTGGAGCAGATGTTAGATTACAGCCAGATAACCAGTCCTCATTATTTTGGCTTTTACAGCCAGTGAAAGCAGCATGCAGGTAGTACACTTGGTTGCTGCCTAGTTGAGTTGTAAAGGTTGAAACATATTGAAATAACCATAGTAGAGGGTATTCAGTCATGTTTGTTTTTAAATTTCACATTCTCTCAAAAGCATTATGAGGGAACAAGAGCTGTTATTTGCCTTTTTAACACATGGAAATGACAACCAGTTGACACTGTGTGATATTAGACCAAAGCCTCAAAATGATCCCCTATAGACCTTGTGCATGTGTGGATATCTTATAATCAGCAAAGCGCTTTCATGTCTTCTGTATTAGTTGATCCTCACAGCCAACTCGTGTGTACTAAGGTCCTGGCAGTTGCTGGGAAGCCTCAGACATGAAGTTGTGCGCCCACAGCCTCCTGGGGGAGAACTGAGGTCAGGCCTCAGAAAGTCGTGCATTTATATTTATTCGTTTGATTGTTTTATGGTACTGAGGATTGAACCAACAGCCTCCTGAATACTAAGTGCACACTCTTCCACTGAGTTGCAGCCTCAACCCTAAAACCCTTTTAGATTAAAACACACACACACACACACACACACACACACGCACACACACACTAACAATCTTTTATTGGATATTTTCAGAATGCTTTTACCACAGAGAAATAATCAGTGTATGGGGGGTGGTTATGTTAAATACACTGATCATTATGTATTATTTTAGGTGCACTAAAGCCTCACACCATACTGCATAACTACATACAACTATTCTCTGTTTATTAAAAACAGCACTAAAAAATGCAAACAGAGCAAGAAGTGCATATAAACTCAAGTATCCCAATAATTATTTTAAGGTTAAAATGAATAACATTGTCAAATAAAAAAGCTGCACAAAAATAAAAGACCTGCCCAAGTTCAGGGAGACAGTCTGGTGTGGAAAGGGTCTTTGTGAAGATCTCAGGGCTTTCCTGGAGACGTCTGTCCAGGTGTCACAGGGACTGTTGGCTACGTCAGCATGACAAGTGAGAGTGGAGACAGTCAATCAAAGCATTCAAACTTTGGCCTCCAAAATCCATAGTATTAAAGTACAATCTTTTTGAAACAAGTCTACTTAGATTGGATTCCTTTTTTTTTTTTTTTTTCTTTTTTTCTTTTTTTGGTACTGGGGATTGAACTCGGGTCCTTGTGCTTGTGCAGCAGGCAGCAAAACCACTGGGCTAAATCCCTGGCCCTTTCTTTTTCTTTTTTACAAATTACTGAAGCTTCTTGTTCATCCTTAGTCAATAGGATTGCACCTAGAGATCTGCTTCCTTACAGGTGCTGTAAACAGCACACACTGAGGCTCAGTAATGCTTCTGGGGGCTCTCACTCCTTTGGAATGACTGTGCTTGCTGAATTAGGCTGAGCTAAGTCTCCAGGTAGGCAGGGAGATCGACCTGGAAGAGAACAATTTGATGGAATCCAGACCAGAGGCATAGAAAAAGCCTATCAGTATATGGCAAAGAAGGGCATCTGTGGGTTTTCTTTAGAAGTAGCCTGCATGCTGCAGAAAAAAAGACAAAGAAAAAGTCCTGGGTGGTAAGATGGGAGTCTTAGGTTTTCATCTCAGGTCTACTACCTACTAGCTGCATGACACCATGGTACACATTCTTTATGAACTTCTGAGCCTCAGCTTATAGTGCATGAGATGCAATGTATACCATCTCTACAGATGTGTGAATAGTCAATGTATGTATCCTAATATATTACAAAGAATAATCTTAAACTACAAATTTAAATATAACACAAGGGTATCTTTAAAAGTGACACTTAAATTTCTTATTTATTAATTATAACATTTACATATTCTATCTATATATTGTCACTTAAAAGCGATACTTCACAATGTAGTCAAGGCTTTATGGCCTTTTATTGGTCTAATAAATAAAAGTGCATCACTTTTATTAAAGGAGGCCACAAATATAAATGATTTCAGGCACTTTGCCCTATGGGAAAATCATACAGTGCATTTGGGAAAAAGTAATTCTGACTTTTTCTCTATAAAATGCTAAATTTCTGCACAAAATCTTAAAGCACAAGTGTTTACAGGACTCTTGGTGACAAGAAAAGCGACAGTAAATGTGTGCTTTAGCCCTGAAATTCATGTATCCATGGAAACGTGTGAAGTTCAGTGAGCACACATGCTCGCAGCCTACAGCATTTATCAGAGGGCTGTGGCAGTGATCAGTGGTTTGCAATGCCGTGAAATGCTGGCATTGCTGAGAGAGACTGCCCAGGCCTGGAGCAGGCTGATTTCCTCTGGTGAATGTAATTACAAGGAAATTCAGAGATCTCAGACGTCACTGGAAAGAAGCCTGCTTATGTATGTGTACTTGGGTCTTTCTGAAGACAGTATTCTTAAATCAGATTTTTAATCAGAAAATGCTTGATAAGCCATCACCATTTCCCTCTCCCCACACATCTGTAACTATGTTCAAAAACTCTCTAGATTTTTCATGTGTGAAGATGCATATATTTCATGGATGCTGGGATGAAATGCCACATGTCTTATCTAACTGATTACTACCGGGAATTTAAATGTGTCCCTGGTCAGTCTTTCCTAATGTAGAATTGCTTTCAAAACAGCAGAAAAATCACCTACATGTATCTGAAGTGTTTATAACCAAAGA